GTCGCCATCTGCTCACCATGCTCCGCACGATACAAATCGTCGAGGCGAAAGAAGCAGTGATGCTCCGAGTGGTCGGTGCGAGTGCAAGTCGCTCCAGGCAGACCTGTGCGACGGACGTACCCACAGCGAGCTGGGCCACATGAGTTGCCACGCCGGATCGCCCACTCACGAAGCTGCTGCGGCGAGAGCGGCACCTGTTGACTCAGCTGCTGCTGCTGACCACCCCCAGAGCCACCTCCACCACCCGCTGCACCACCAGACGCAGCTGTACGAGTGGCCGAACCTCCAGCTCCTCCTCCGCCAGCTCCACTCCGAGTGCCACCCCCACCCCCTCCACCACTCCCACTGCTCCCACCGCCCCCTCCTCCTCCTTTGCCGCCTCCACCTCCTCCTCCCCCACCACCACCACCACCCTCGCCACCACCACCGCTACCCCCTCCACCCCCACCCTTGCCACCCTTTCCCTTGCTGCTGCAGCGCCTCCCACTAGGAGCAGACGTAATACCGACCTCCTCAGCACCAAGGAAGTCCACAGCAGCATTCAGAGGCACCAGACGGCGCGAGCAGGGAGGGGGAGCACCCCTCGAATATAGAGGGGAGGGGAGTGCCACGAGAGGCAGCGACAGCTAGGGCAGCGGACTCAGCCTCTAAGAGATGGGACTCAAACGAGGCGAGGGTGATCTTCGTGGGGTCTAGAGCGAGAAAGTGGTCGCGTACAGCACGAAGGGAATCAGGGAGGCGGGTCGTGAGAAAGTAAAGGGTGAGATACATGGGTGGCTTGTTCTCAGCCAGAAAGGCAAGCTCGAGGGCGGCAGTTTAACTGGTCTCAAGGGAGCGCAGGTGAGTCAGGAGGTCGGCTACAGTGGTGAAGTCTGATAGCTCAGGAAGGAGGAACGGCAGCGCCAGACGGCCTACAGTGGCAGAAGACGGGGACGAGTAGCGCTTGATTACAGCGTCGTAAAGCGCCTTGGCTGTCTTAAGCTGGCAAAAGTGGGTGTGCTGGTCTAGCGCAAGGTGACTGCGGACAGCAAGTGCGGCAGTAGCGTCACGAGAAGTCCAATTGGACCGATCTACACGGGGCATCGAGGGACCCCGAGGTATGCTCAAAGAGAGAGACATCCTCCCTAGTAAAGTTATGCAGGTACCAGTGGAGGTCCTCTAGCCAGGTCACAAAATCTATCGGGTGGCCCTCGGCGTCAGGGGTGAGCACAGTGGGAGTCGCCATAGCAGCAGTAACGGCAGCAGCAGTAGCAACAGCAGCAGCAGCAGCAGCAGCAGCAGCAGCAGCAGCAGCAGCAGCAGCAGCAGCAGCAGCAGCAGCAGCAGCAGCAGCAGCAGCAGCAGCAGCAGCAGCAGCAGCAGCAGTAGCAGCAGCAGCAGTAGCAGCAGTAAGGGCGGCAGTAGTTGCTGGACTGGTGCAGAACGGCACTGGTGCGCGGGGCAAGGGCAGCACTAGTGCAGGGGGGGTGGCTCAGCAGGGCGGCTCGGCTGGGCAGCTCGGCAGGGCGGCTCGGCCGGGCGGCTCGACTGAGCGGCTCGGTTGGGCGGCTCGGCTGGGCGGCTCGCAGGCAGCAGCAGCAGCAAGCGCGCTAGCGGGCGGTGCAGGCAGCTGCAGCAGGCGCGCAAGCAGGTCAGGGCAGGGGCATGAGCTGGCGGTGTAGGCAGCGCAGCAGGGGCGCGAGCTGGTGGCTTGACAGCGCAAGCAGGGCAGGGCAGGGGTGCGAGCGGGCGGCGCAGGGCAATGCGCAGGTGGCTCAGGCAGGGCAGTGTGGGCAATGCAGCGCGCAGGGCAGCGGAGGGCGGGCCGGCAGCGTGCAGGCAGCGCGGGCGGCACAGGGCAGCGCGGGCGATGTGCGGGCAGCATGCCGGCAGCGCGAGCAGCGTGCGAGCGGTGTGCGGACAGCGCGGGCACCGCGCGGGCAGCGTGCGTGGCAGCAGGCGGGCGAGCGCACTGGGCAGCGCGACAGCGCGCGGGTTTGGCCAGGGCAGCGCTATAGCGCGCTGGGCAGGGCAGGGCAGGGCAGCAGCGCAATGGCGTGCTGGGCAGGGTAGAAACGATGGGCCGGGCAGGGTAAAAACAACCGCCGGGCAGAACGGAACTAATTTAGTGGGCCCTAAAAAATTCGGTCCTAGAACGGGACCTACTATGAAGCCATGTTAGAAACTAAGGGCGTGTGTGATTTTATATTTTGTATAAGTTTACGTTTTAAAATCGAATGTAGCATTTGAACATGAGGTTCACATTATTCGACTTTCGTTGATGGCAAAGTTCGAGCCGCGCGTCTCGCAAACGGTTGAAGCACAACCACACACCCAAGTTCGAATTTGCACGTTCGACCTTATACGGGGTGAGCCGAGCCGCCCGTAGGTTATTCAGGTAACCTGGTTTCGTCTAGCTCTGAGAGACGAACTTTCTACCTGGTTTCGGTGGTGCGTTCATTGGTACACGAACAAATCGCGTAGTTCGTCAACTTCTCTTGCGTGCCCAAAATAACACATGTTCGGTTCATCGTACACTCTCACGTTCGTGCGTAGATTCGAGCCTTGTTCACTTTTCGTTGGTCGCATTTGTGTGTTTTCGATTTAAAGTGTGTTTCGCCAACTGTGTTGGCGACATTGGCGAACGCGGTAACCAGCTAAAGTTCGACCTAAATTACGAACCTAAAACAATTTCACACACGCCCTAAGGATCGATGGGATTAAATTAAGAGGGGGGTACAAGTAGAAGGTCGAGAGAAATGTTGTACCCCCTAAGGCTAAACCCACTACAGCCTAGAACAATATAAGCATATATGTTTCGACAATGCAGGCAGCCTATAGTGTGCAGCGACGACATGACTTGGGGTGATTATGCTAGCACATCTATAGTATTACTCGCTGGTCTGTACAATTCTTCTGAAATTCCTTTCACAAATGCAGTTCATACATGACAAATATATTCATATGAAATTCAAGACAAGGGTACATATTTCGTCTGAAAACTTAGACAACCTTCAGGTTTTCATTTGAATCTTAGACAAGAAGCGAAAACCTTGTCTAAAAGCCAGACAGAGTATTTTACTAAAGTTGTCCCTAGCTGCCAGGTCATCTGGTACGTTGACGTTTAATTTCTACAAATCGCGCGGCTGTTCTGCTGCTCCGGCTTCCCATACGTCAACAGCGTACACGCCAGCTCCTGCGGCTACGACGCGTTTCATGATTTCATCGTGATGGCATTGACTCGAACCGACGAAGACACAGGCGAGCTCCATCGAGGTCAGACGATGTTGTTACGCTGCAGTCACTTGTTGATGTCGTCGCATCCAATCACGGCCGAGTAAAATGTCGGTCCTGTCAAGTGTTATTGCCATCATTTCCTGGGTGAATGTGAAGTTACTGTCGAGATAACTGTGTAGGAATGAATGAACTAGGCAGCAGTTGGATACAAGTAGGAAACCTTAATTGGGTTATCCCCTCTAGAGTGAACCTCACTGTAGCCTACAAGCTAACAAACATAAAGTTTGACACACCCCCATAGGCAAAGTGAGGGATAGCCAGCACAGCAAACGGTCACAAGACCAGTCAGTCAAGAGAACAAAGCAATGCAAAGCCCAGGGTGGATCTCAAGGATACCACACAGTCCGAGCACAAGCAAGCGGCCACAAGGCCAGTTCACAGCAAAGTTATAATAGCAAGGTAGTACACTGATCACAACCTAGAAAGAGTAAACATGCATGTATAAATATCTATATCAGTGTACAACAAGTGCAAGGCAGGATCAAGAGACAAGCAGGTGAGGCCACGTGGGCAGAAGCTCAAGAGCAGTGCAAAAATGCTGATGATCACCAGACCCAAGGGCCTTGGTGAAAACATCAGCAGTGTTGGCCCGAGAGGCCACGTAGCAAAGGCGAAGCTGACCACGTTGCTGCAGCTCTCGATCAAGAAAGTAGCGAAGAGCAATGTGCTTCGTTCTGTGCTCCAGTCTCTGCTCGTGACACAAGGCAAGCATGGCCTTGTTGTCGACGTATAGTACTGGAGGAGAACGGGGCCGCTCCCACAAGTCGGTCAGCAGGTAGGTCAGCCAGCGTAGTTCCTCTGCAGCCATAGCCCCAAACGTAGATCTCGGCCTCACAGCTGGAACCAAGCACAGAAGACGAACGAGTGGACCTCCACGAGACAGAACCAGAGACGAGACTAAAGGTGTATCCCTGTGACAAACGCTGAGTCGCCTGGTCGCCTGAGTGTCTTGTGAGTACCACTGAACTCCATCCTCCAAGCACGAGCCCCATGTCCGATGTACTGCACAAGTAACGCAGTACCCTCTTAGCGGCTTCCTAGTGCACCTTCCGGTGTCTACCGGGAGCCACGTAGCGAATCAGGAGGCTGAGAGGGTATGCGAGGTTAGGTCGTGTGCACGTCATCAAGTACATGAGGCAACCCACAAGCTCTGGATAGAGACCACTCGATTCTACGGACTCGTCCGAAGGTGGAGCTGAGAGCGAGTGGCCTGTAGGCAGAGGAGTGGGCTGTGGCGAGGAGAACTGGAAGCCAAAGCGCTGAAGGACCTGCAGCACCATGTGTGACTGAGTCAGGGTGATGGTAAGCCGTGCTCTGTCCCGGGTGATCTGCAAGCCAAGATAGCTCTGTAGTTCACCCAGGTCAGTGCTGGTGTGTCTCTCCTACAGCTCCGCCTTCACTAGGGCCGGTGCCTCAATATCAGCAATAGCAAAAACCAAGTCGTCGATGTACACAAGGACGTAGAACGGCGGCAGAGAAGTGTCGGTGCGTAGAAACAACGACGGTTCAGCAGTGGAAGGAGCAAACCCAAGAGCCGCAAGTGTCGTTCTCAGTGTGTCGTGCCACTCGCAGGGCGCCTGGCGGAGACCATAGACTGGCCGCCGGAGGCTCCACTGGGTACCCTCAGAAAATGACCCAGTGAAGCCAGGTGGGCGGCACAGTCAGATCTCCTCGTGAAGGCTGCCCTGCAAGAAAGCAGTGTTAAAGTCAAGCGAGTGCAGCTCCTAGTCATGCTGTGCTGCAACGTGTAGCAACACCCAAAGAGTAGTCATCTTCGGGGTGGGAGAGAAGGTCTGGAAGAAGTCGACCCCCTGTCGCTGACTGAAGCCTCGAGCAACGTAACGCGCCTTGAAGGCAGGCGGAGAACCTGGCGGCCGCTTCGCCCTGAAAATGCACATGCCATCGACTATGTTCGCCCCAGGAGGGGGAACCTTGTCGTCGTAGGTGCCTGTGGACTTCCAGGAAGCCATCTCTGCGTCCATTGCTGTCTGCCACTGAGAGGAGTACTCACCCGAGATCGCCTCTGCGTAAGAGCGCGGGGTGGGGATGTCAAGTGCGTCCGGGTCTCCCTCAGGGCAAAGCAGCATGGATGCGAAACGAGGTAAAGCGGCCTCAAGACACTCAAGATCAAACTGACTGTCCTCAAGGACGTCATTGGCAAGGGCAAGCTCACCCCCGACTGACGGAGGACAGATAGACTCAGACTCAGTAACAAGGCTCGCGACGTATTTGAGACGACGGGTAGCAGCAAATTCGACTAGCTCAGTGGCTAGGGAAAACGCAGCAGTATACTCAAAGAAATGGTCAGTGACGACAGTGGCGAGGAGACGAGTGACAATAGGACTTGCAGCACGAGCAAGGTCGGACTCAGGGTCAGGAACGCCAGGAAGAGAGGACGCCGAAGGAGACGGCAGGGCAACACGCTGTGGAACAGAGGAAGGACGAAGTGCCATAACGTGAGTGCCTGGGACAGCAGGATTACGAGGCCGCGACACGACGAGCACGAACGGGTGTGGAGACACGAGACTCAGGCTCACGACACTCAGTCAGGGAGTCTGACAGCTCAGTGTAGGGGGAAGGAGCAGGCAGTGGGGAGCCAGGCAGCAATGTGTATGAGACGGGGCAGACGGTAGACACAGGAGAGGTGGAGTGAGGCCAGTGGAAGACGGGAGACCAAGAACCTGGCGAAGGGCCGAGCCAAGCGGTGGCAGGGACGACTTCGGCTGCGGGTAGAAAAACGGTCGGCGCGGCGCAATATCCATACTATCAGCAGCTCTAGCACCTCCAGCACCTCCAGTACCTCCAGCTCCAGCACCTCCAGCTCTAGCACCTCCAGTGCCCGCAACTCCAGCACCTCCAGCACCTCCAGCTCCAGCAGCACCTCCAGCACCAGCAGCACTAGCACTTCCAGCACCAGCAGCTCTGGCACCTCCAGCTCTAGCAGCTCCAACACCTCCAGCACTAGCACCTCCAGCACCAGCAGCTCTAGCACCTCCAGTACCTCCAGCCCCAATAGCTCCAGCACCTCCAGTACCTCCAGATCTAGCGCCTCCAGCACCAGCAGCACCTCCAGCACAGGCAGCAGCTCCAGCACCTCCAGCACCAGCAGCTCCAGCACCTCTAGCAGTGCCTCCAGCACCAGCAGCTCCAGCACCTGTAAAGCTCCAAGCTCCAGCACCAGAGCGGCCTCACCGAACGACCCACTCACGAAGATGCTCCGGCGAGAGCGTCTTGAGTCGACTAGGCGGCTGCTGCTGTCCAACGCCAGGACCTGCAGCAGGACCACCCACAGCCCCACCACCACTAGGACTCGCAGTACCCCCAGAGCCTGCACCCCCAGAATCAGCACCTCCAGAACCCTCACTCCCAGTCTCAGCACCCCCTGAGACAGCACCTCCAGAGTCCTCACCCCCTGTGTCACCACCCCCAGCAGCACCAGAGTCCACAACTACAGGCTGCGGAGGCGGCGAAGACGGTTGAGGCGGAAAACCAGGAGGGGTCTCCAAGCGTGGAGAACGGCGCGTGGCCGCCGGGTCGTCAGCGGCGGGGTCACCCCCCTCAGCTGGGCCAGAGGTGGCAGAGGAGACCTCCAAAGGCTCGACCAAGGTGGGTGGGTCTACCTGAGACACACCTGAGGGAGCAGGACCCTGTGGGGGGAGGGGGTCTACCGGGGGGGAACTGGGACCAGGAAGAGGGGCGACAGGGGGACCGGGTGTGACACGTGCGGGTGGAGCTTGTAGAAGCAGACCGACTCGTCAAAAATGACGTCCTAGGAGGTCAGGACTCGACGCGAGGCATGGTGGTAAAACTGCCACGGCGGGGCGCCGGTGGGGAAGACCAGGAAGACGCAGCGGAGAGTGCGAGGAGAGAGCTTGCTCGCGGTGGTATCGCGGACAAGGGAGAGCGCGCTCAGACTCGAAACGTCGACGCATCGCCAACCTCTTCCGTCCAACGAAGTGTAGGCGAGGTCTCTGGCACAAAGACGCGGTGCCAGAGGTTGAGCTGATGCGCAGCGTATCGGACCGCAAACGGCCACAGAAAATAGGGAGCAGCCCCATGGATCATGGAGGTACGAGCAACCTCCATGATCAAGCCAATGCGACGCTCAGCAATCCCATTCTATTGTGGAGAGGCCGGAAGCGTGAACGACTGGACGATGCCCTCGTCTCGACAGAACTTCGCAAGGAGGCCGGAAGAGAACTTACCACCCCTGTCAGAGTGCAGACACAGGACTGGAAGGTCCCGCCGAAACCGCTCGCGCAGTTGGCGATGAGTAGCGCGGATCCAGGGGATCAAAACACCGCGGACGTCCGCCTTGCTCCGCAAGGGGAAAATCGTGGTGTAGCGCGTGTAGTCGTCAACAACCCGCAGGAAGTAGCGCTCCTGGACCGTCCCACGGACGGGGGCCGGGCCCCACACATCCATGTGGAGAGTCTACAGAGGAGCAGTGGTCGGAGGAAACGAGGAGGAGTGAGGAGCGACGCGCTGCTGCCCCTCGACGCAGGGAAGGCACGGCGGGGCTAGCGAGTGCGGGAGGGGGGGCAGGGACCTGGGAAGGCCAGAGACAAGGAGACGGGAGTGCATGTTGCCTAGACGCGACAGAGAGGGGTGACCGAGGCGGTGGTGCCAGATGAGAGTCTGGTGGGAGAGTGCCCGACACGAGCACGACGCAGCTAACTGACCAGACGCAGACACCGGACCCGACGCTGCCAACGGACCTAACGCAGCTACCTGTGCAGACGCAGTGGTCAAGGTGTACAGACTGGACCCAGGCTGCCGAGTGAACATAGCAAGGTGACGGTCAGTCCGAGAGCACGTATAGATCACCACACGCTGCACTCCAGGGGTAAAGGTATCAACCCATACATCCTGAAGGATTGCGTTGCTCACCAAGTTTGTGGAGAACGAGGGGAGGTGGAGACCTGGAAGAGAGCCAGAGGGGACTGCCGGACACGGGAGGACAGTGGAGGCTCGTGCGACGACGGGGCCCCCAGAGGGGTCAGCCAGTGAGACCGGGACAAGTGCAGCGAGCGGTGTGACTGTGGTGCAATCACAAAAGAAGCAACGAGACGCGCCAGAGTCAAGTGTGAAAGTGTGCAAGGCCTCAGTTGAGGCTGCAGACTCACTAGTAGCAGACTCACTAGCACCTGTGGCAGCAGATGCACTCGCACCTAGAGCGGCAGCAGACTCACTAGCACCTAGAGCGGCAGCAGACTCACTAGCAGCGCAAGGCACACACGAGTATCAGTCACCCTCAGCACTAATAACATCAACATATATAGCATAGAGTCCCTCGTTGATCTGAACAAAGTCAAGAGCAAACACATCCACTCCCTTCGCTATCAATCCCAGCCAGTTTGGGACCTCCTGCTCATCACCGTACTCGGTCACCCAGGCATCCTCGAGACGGCTGAAGCAGCGTTAGTCAGTGTGTCCAGGCTTCCCGCATGTCTGACCCTTTTTTAGACCCGTGCGCCTGGCATACGTGCATCGAACAAAGTCCCCAGGGAAACCACGCTGGACAACCCACTCACGAAGCTACTGAGGGGTGGGTTTGTCCGGGAGGTGTGGCATCTGCTGTCCACTCCCATAGCCTTTGGTGCCACAAGCTGAACCCCCATAGCCTCCACCCCTGCCAGCTCCAACCCGACCGCCTCCACCACCCCCGCCACCTCCACCACCCCCGCCACCTCTACTGCCTCCGCCACCTCCACTGCCTCCACCTCCGCTGCCACCTCCCCCGCCTCCACCACTACCACCACCACCCCCGCTACCACCCCTGTCAGTGCCAACCCCACCACCCTTACCCCCCTTGCCCTTGCCGCTGAGGTGCTTCCCACCAGGAGCAGAAGCAGCGCCGACCTTTTTAGCACCAAGGAGATCGGCAGCAGCAGCAGAGGCAACTGAGGGTACGAGAGGGGAGGGAGCACACCCTTCAAAGAAGAGGGAGCGGGGAGTGCCACGAGAGGCAGCGACAGCGATACTGGTCTCAGCCTCGAGAAGGTACTTCTCTAGCGAGGCAAGCGTGAGCTCAGTGGGGTCAAGGGCGAGGAAGTGGTCCCAAACGGTGCAGAGGGAGTCGGGGAGGCGTGTGACTAGGAAGTACAGGGTGATATAAAGAGGGGGGGGGGTTCGCAATGAGGAAGGCCGGCTTGAGAGCGGCGCGGTCATGAGTCTCACAAGAGCGAAGGTGAGTCATGAGATCAGCAACAGTGTGAAAGTCTGCGAGCTCAGGTTAGAGGTACGGCAGCATGAGACGGCCTAGAGCAGCAGTAGCTGGGGAGGAGTAACGAGCGACAACGGCGTCATAGAGACCTTTGGCTGTCTTTTGCTGGCCAAAATGTGCCCTCTCAGCTAGCGGGAGGTGGTTGCGGACAGCAAGGCGGGCAGTAGCGTCGCGTGAGCCACGGCGAACGATCTAAGCGGTCGGCTGTATCAGCTGGGGCGAGAAGGGATCCGGACATATGTTCTATCAGTGAGACTCCATCCATAGCCTCGCTCTGCAGGTACAGTTGGAGATCGTCTAGCCAAACGTCAAAGTTAATCGGTCGGCCCTCCGCATCAAATGTAAGGACAAAAATGGTGGCCATATTAGCAGTAGCAGCCACAGCAGCAGCAGTAGCAGCAGTAGGGGAGTGCGGCTCGGCTCAGGCAGGGCAGCGCGGCTCGGGCAAGGCGGCGCGGCTCGGGCTGGGTGGCGCGGCTCGGCAGGGTGGCGCGGCTCGGCAGGGCGACGCGACTCGGGCTGGGCGGCGCGGCTTGGCAGGGCACAGCGCAGCAGCGCGTGTGGTAGCAGCAGCACGTTTGGCAGCAGCAGCAGCAGCAGCAGCAGCAGCAGCAGTGCGCGCAGGTAGGCAGCGCTCGCGGGCAGGCAGCGTGCACGCGAGCAGGCAGCTCGCGGGTGTTGGGCTGAGAAAAGCCCTTAGGATCTTTGCAGGACTAAACTCTGAGTAGGAACAATGTAATAGCGGAAGCGTTTAATGATAAGCCTGTGAACCACTTTGCGCTGGTATGTGAGGGCAAAGTAGATTGATTAAAGCGAAGAGATACAGGCTTTTATAAGAGTACAAGGGAATATGAAAGGTTATAGCTAACAACTGTTTTGTTGTTGCTGTTGCGGTTCGATACAGTGACGACTCGGGCAACTGCTCAATAACGAGTTAGTTGTTTGTCCTTGCTGTCGCGCTGTACTTGTCAGGTCAAAGGTCGCTGACCTTTGACTTTCGCGTAACCTCCAGCAGTTGCTCAACCTCCGAGGGTTGACTCGCCGATGCTTCGCTGTGTTTCGCTTCGTTTACGACTTAGTGCTTCGACACGACAGAGGCGCTTAAATTACTTGTTTCCCCCCCTTCGCTTCTGGAGTGTCGCTGCTGGTGACGTGGCTCTGTCCAGTCAGCAGCATGCAGTACTCGAACTTCTGCTTTCCGAGTTTCTTGGTCAAGTAATCAGCTGCCATCTCGGACGTGGGGCAGTAAGACAGCTCGAGTCTCCCCTTCTCGATCTCGTCCTTCACGAAGAAATATCGCAAGGCGATGTGCTTCGTCCTGTTCGCGAATCCATTTTTGTTGGCTATGCGAATTGCTGACTGGTTGTCGTAGAACAAGGAGAAGCTGGGTAACTGAGCCAGCTTCGCTTCCTCCAGGAGTTCGCGAAGGTACAATCCTTCCTTGGTGGCTGAGCAGAGTGCGATATATTCTGCTTCAGCTGAGGAGAGGGCGATTAACTCCTGCTTGCTCGACTGCCACGAGATGGGTCCGATAGGTTCGAAGCGATAGATGTAGCCGGTGCGCGAGCGTCTGTTGTCGGAGTCGCCGGCGTGATCGGCGTCGACGTAGCCGATCAACTTAGGTGTCGAGGTTCCGTTCTTGTGATAGGTCAGGCCGATCGTCGGAGTGCTGATCAGATAGTGAAGAGCGCGGTCGAGCTCCGCCATATGTTCTGCCTCGGGCCTTTTGAGGTAGGTTGCGAGTTGACTCGCAGAGTACGATAGGTCCGGACGGTAGGTGACGGCCGCGAAGAGGAGGCATTTCTTTGGTAGTCGCGTATGCCGGCGGGCTTGAGCAGGGCGGATCCTTCCTTGTGATTTCCTGCGGTGTAGCGGTATGGCGTGGAGATGGAGATCGGGGTGAGTCCGAAGCGTTTGGCGATAGTATCGGTATATTTCGCGGCGCTGAGGTAGATCGCGTTCTCTTCTTCCTGAATGTTGAGGCCGAGATACTGTGTGACGGTGGACGCGACCGTGAGTGTGAGATCTTGCTGCAGCTCCCCTTCGAACCAGGTAGTGACGCCGTCGGTCGAACCGATGTAGAGCAGGTCGTCTACGTAGACGATGAGTAGAATGTAGTCGTTGCCCTTTGTGAGTCGGTACATGCCCTGGTCGTGCGGTAGCTGACAGAATCCGATGCGAATAAGTCTAGCGTGCAGGTACTGTTGCCACAGTCTCGGTGCCTGTTTGATGCCGTACAGGGACTTCAGTAGCTGGCAGACTTGATTGGGTTCTCCGTTTGAGCCGTGTGGAAGTTCGACGAAGATTTCGGCGTCAACAGGTGCGTAGAGGAATGCATTAGCGACGTCGATTTGCCGCAGCTTTTTCTTCTTCATGGCGGCGATCGCGAGGAGAATTTGAAGCGAAGTGTGTCGGCTGACCGGGGCGAACGTCTCGGTGAAATCGCGTCCGTGCTCTTGGTCGAAACCGCGTACGACCCAGCGTGCTTTAAACTTGTCGATGGTGCCGTCTGCCTTTGTCTTCACACGGAAAACCCATTTTCCGGTGAGTACCGTTTTGTTGCGTGCCACTCCGATGGGAACGACTTTCCAGGTGTTCCGTTCTTCCAGCGCTTTCAGCTCCTTGTCCATGGCTTCGCGCCATTTTTCCCTATGCTCCCCCCCCAGAGCCTGCTGAACTGTGGCAGGCTCTTTAGGAATCTCCGTGCCGTGGACCGCGGTGACGAGGCCGAGTATCTGGAGCCCGCTCTGTGTGTAGCGGGGGAGTGTTGTGTCCTCGGGATAAGCTACTTCGTCACCTGCTTCGGGATCAGGTAAGAAGTTGGGTCCTATGCGTTCGGCTTCATTGGTGTTGACTCGGGCGGGTGTAACGTAACCAGTGTCGGCGAAGTCGTAGAAGACTTCGGCGTTGACGCTCTCGTGAGGGTTGTCGTCATCCATTGGGATATCCACGGAGCAGTAGGGGAAAGGTCCGGCTTCTTCCAAAGCTCCGTCCACGGTCTGCTCGTCCAGGTCAGCTTCATCTGCTGCCGAAGCGAAGGCTCGGTCCCCACGAAATCCGCCTGTGACATCTCGTGAAGTCTCCAAGTTGTGCAGGTACGTTGAAAGGGTGAGTCGCTCGTAGAAAATGACATCACGTGCTGCTACTGTTTCCTTTGAGTGGATGTCGAAAATCTTCCACGCGTTGTAATTCTTTTCAATGCCCAGGTGTAGTCCCCACTGTGCGCGTTGGGAGAATCGGCCAGCGCGTGCAGCTGGGGGTCGGTACTGTGCCATGCAGCCGAAATTTCGCAACATTTTTGTGCTGCCCAGTTTTCCTGTCCACAGCAGATGCGGTGATGCGTTGTTCGGGAGCGATGATGACGAAAGCAAGTTGTGCAGCATCACGGCGTGGTCCATTGCTTCGGGCCACTGGTGGTTGGGTAGCCGCATGCCACGTAGCAGCTTGCGCATGGTGTTCTGAAGGGTCCTGTTCATTCTTTCTGCTACACCCTGCTGTTGATGGGCGTAGGGAAGGGAGATGAGCCGCTTGATTCCCCTCTCTGCCAGGTACTGCTTGAATCTTTGTGAGGTATATTCTCCTCCTCCGTCTGACTGGAAGCTCTTTAGCTTCACGCCTGATTCTCGCTCTGCTACTGGAAGCCATGCGACGAAGGCTTCGAAAGCCATGTCACGACTCGGAAGGTTGAGATGCCACACGTATCGCGTGGCGGCGTCGATGAAGGTGATAACGTAGTTGTACGCTCCTTGACCGGGTTCGCGATTGTACAGGATATCGCTGTAGACCTTCTCCAAAGGTGCGTACGCCGGTGCACTTGGGTTGTGGTGAGAGACGAAGGGCTGATGCGGTAAGTCTGCTTCTGGGCAGGTGAAGCAAGTTCCTCGCATTCGTCGAAGTTCTCTGCCGTCGGGTAATAATAGTGAGTCTTTATCAAGAACGCCTGCTCGTATCATGTTGTTTAACGTCGTGTTGCTTGGATGTCCCATTCGTCTATGCCAGAGATCTTCGTCGGCGCGATGTCCGGGTGAGCGTCTGTACAGGTCGGAGTTGGAGTAAAACCCTGCGGTATGGTTTGCACTTCGATGGACTTCTCGTGGAGTTGGATTCAACTGTTGCGCGGGAGTCGGTGGTATGTTGTCGACGAAGACCGGTGCCGTTGAAGGTCCTGCGATTGGTGTCGATGTTGTCTCTGCTGCTGCCGGTGTTGTCTCTGCTGCTGCCGATGTTGTCTCTGCTACTGCCGATGTTGTTTTTGCTACTGCCGATGTTGTCTCTGCTGCTGCCGATGTTGTCTCTGCTGCTGCCGAGTGTTGAATCGTTGACTAATGCTCGTGTTCATTCTGCCTCAGGAATAGTATGTGAATACCAGAATCCTTCGGGGCTGAAGTCAGGATCAAGATCCGGTGGGTGCGTCCAGGATGTGAAGGTGACGATTCCGTCGCTGTCGGCGGTGCCTAAATCTGGAACGAAGTCGAGGACGAAGACGTTATTTTTCAGGACCGCCTTCCCGATGTAAAGTCCGCCTCTCCCGTGGTACAGCTTGAACTCCTGAGTGGTGCTGTCTGCTTCGAGATGGATACCTTTTGCCATCAGCTGACTGACACTTAGTAAGTTGTAGCCGAGTCCCTCCGCAATTAAAACCTTTGATATTTGCAGTATGACGTTTGTCTCTCGTGACTGAAGTTGCACTACGCCCTGTCGTCGTGTGCGCAGGTTCTGATTGTTGGCGACGGTGATGACAACTTCGCGCTGAAGTTGGTGTTCGCCTTGAACGAAACGACCCGAGGAACACATATGTTGCCCGCAGCAACTGACCAAGAACCAAGTGTCTTTCCCGGACGTTTCTCTTTGAGCGATGGCTGCATACGTCGGGTTCGGTTGAAGTGACTCGCGGCGAGGTGTGCTGTTGTCGAGTTGCTCTTCCGGTGAGTAATGTGGTGGAGACTCGGTGATGCAGGAGTCAGTCAATCTTGCCATGCAGCTGACGATGTTTCTTGCTCCTTGTGCAGATTGTGTTGACGACGATGTCGTTGAGGGCTGCAGTTGACTCGTGGGGTGCGCTTGCGTGGACGCCACTTGACTGCTTGAAGGACGAAGTTGGCGCTGCGGCGGCGTTGACTGCTGTCGATTCGGGCAGTGTGTGCGAGGGTGTCCTGAAGTCTTGCAGAGATGACAGAACGGAGGTACGGGTTTTGGATGATGCCGGTTGTTGTTGTTGTAGCGCCGTTGAGTGTGAAACGTAAATTCGGGTACTGACGCTTTTTTTTTGTGCCGTTCCTCTTGCAGGTCCATGTCTTGCTGCTCAGCGTGGATTTCAGCGCAGAGTGCTGCTTCGGAGATCTTCCCGTGAGCTCGAAGTATGGCGCGAGTGGAGCGCCAATGGGGACCAAGACCGCCAATGATGACTGTGACGAAGGCGTCTTCCGATATCGACCCTCCGCATCGAAGGAGTTTGTCGCGCAATTCGCGACAGCGACTGATATACGCCATCCCCTTTT